GATGTTTATTGAACATCTGTGTTGAGCAATGCACTACGTTAGCTACTGTGCAGCTGTCGATGTGGCAAGACACAGAGCTTGCCCACAAAGTGCTGAAAACTACGAGAGAGGGAGGGGAAATATATAAGCAGAAGAGATCGCAGCAGAGGGTGGTAAATGCTGCCTTTGAGGGTTCGGGTAGCAAGCTGTGACCCACTAAAGGCGGTGACCCACTGTTTGCACCATCCCTACTCACCACCTCTTGATGTCTATTTCTTCTTAGGCCACAGCCTTCCTCGAAGACACCCAAGATCCCCAAGATTTACACTAAAACAGGAGACAAAGGTATGGTGGGGACAGGTGAAAAATGCAAAGAAAGACAGGCTCCCAAAATAGCAGTTTCCACCGTAAAGTTCTCTCCAATTCTTTGCAGACATTAAAAACTATGTGACAGATCAAAATGTGATGTAAAGTGAAAGATGGCCAAGATATATTAAGTGATAAAAGCATGTTGCAAAAGAATCCAAATAATTGGAGTCCACTGGATCAAAGTATGTGTGTGTATTTATATGTGTGTCCAGATATGCATGGAATATTGTGAAAGGTTACACCTTGAACTATTTATTACCCAGGAGAGAGATTGAATTGTGGGAGAGGGGAATGAACAGGCAGGTTTTCATTGTTTCCTGCACCCACTTTTATCCTATGCTGTTATTTTTTTGTAATGAGCATACATTAACTTTGATAATTTAAAAAATACCAGAATGTGATGTTGTATAGGAAAAGATGCAGAAGAATATATCATTTTCTAAAGTGTAAAACCAGGCAGATTACTAGTATGTATTGCTTTGGGGGTATATTTTATGTAGTAAAAAGGTTAAAAACATGCCTAGGATGTAGTTAATGCCATTGTACACTTACAAATGGTTAAAAGAGTAAATTTTTATTTATGTGTTACCACAATAAAAAGAAGAAAAGTTGGAAAGGCATGACAAACAGAAGGCAGGGATGATGCCCTCCAGCCAAAGACTCCAAGGACAGTCTAGTCAAATAAAAAAGGGTCAAGGTGAGGAGGGTATAGCTCAGTGGTAGAGCACATCCCTGGTATCCACAAGGTCATGGGATCGATCCCCAGTGTATCAGTTAAATAAAAAATAAAATAATAAATAAATAAACCTAATTAACACCCTCCCCCCAAAAAGGGTCTGTTAACTCATTACAACTAGGGAGATGGCACATCATCAGATCTATCAGATTGGGCTGGTATTAGGTGATTTGGGGAGAGTTTGGGGAAGTGGGGCCTTGCTCTGGATCGGATGCTGTCAGGAAGCAGGGCTGATGGTCATTGGGGATCTTAATAGTTTTTATCTAGAAGGTGCAAGGGACAAAGAGGGCTGGAGCTGTCATTGATCAAGAAGCAGCAGTCACATTAGCTGGGAAAGGGGGACGCTTGGTCACCTTTTTTAGTTTGGACCATGTTCTGTGCTCAGGCATGATCATGGAGTGGTCTTGTTTAGGTCTTAATCCGTCCCAGTCATAAAGTGGCCTGTCTGATGGTGTTCTGTGAAATCGTTTGTGTTCAACAGGAGAAGCTCACAGCCTACCTGTGAGTGCCGGACCAGTGCCTGGCGGCATCAGAGCCAGTCTAATGGTGCCGGGCCAGCTCCAGGCTGTCAGGAGCAGGTTTTCTCTTCCTCGGTGATTGGGAGAGCAAGGTGGGAAATGTGACCTAGGTAAAGATACAGAGGACTTGGATTTTATGTGAAATGTCATTATAGTGTGCATACAACATGTACATGTTTTATTTCCCTAGGAGGATGGTTAGTCCATGATTTTTAGGTTTCAAATGAAAGCATATCAGGAAAGAAGAGAACAGTGGTTACCCTTGGGAGATAGTAACTGAAAGAGGGTACACGGGGGCTTCTAGAGTGACGCTTATATTCCGTTTCTTGATCGAGGTGCTGATCACAAAGGTATATTTCAGTTACTAACAATTCATCAACTTGTCCACTTATGATTTGAACACTTTTCTGTGTTTGTTATACCTCGAGTGGAAAATTTTTTAAAAGAGCACATCAGGGAAAAAAAATCTTTAATTTCAGCGGCAAAACATTTTCCACAGGGTTTTCTAGCACCTTCACTGGAGAAAGGAGACTGAAAGATGACCAGGTGTTTGAAGCCATGGGAACTACAGATGAATTAAGTTCAGCCATTGGGTAAGGGAGATGGGATTGGCCTTGAGGTTGGGTCTGAGCGGATGTGATTGATACGCGGCTCTCCAGAGCACCGGCCAGTCCTAGAGGCTGCCAGCCCTTGACGAACCCGCCTCGTCCTGGCGGCGCAGGGGCAGCTGGTCAGCTCCGCAAGGCTGCAGGGCTGCAGACGCCCTTCCCGTCTGCTTCCGTGCCGGCTTCGGTCCCTCACCCCTCTGTCCCTGCTCCCTCGCTGTCCTCGTGAGTATGTGCGTGCCTTTGAGGTGCACATGTTAAGTGAGAGGTGAGTTGAGCACAGTATCCAGTGCATCAGACGTGATTCCTTTTGTGAATCTTGTTTTCTGAATAATCATATACCTGGTCAGAGCTTAGAAGGTGGGCTCAGGATTAGGATCGGCCAGGCCATGCTGGGGTAACAAACAATCCCCAGATCTCATGGCTTATACCGCCAATGGCTGTTTCATCCTCTTGGTGGGTCGGGTGTGTTTCTGCTCCATGTGGCCTTCACTCTGGGACTTGGGCTGGCCGGACAGCCTCTGCCTGGAACGGAATTGGGGCAGAGGGAAGGGAGATCATGGTCACGCCCACACTGGCCCTTAAAGCTTCCATGGAGTGACACGTCACATCTGCTCACATTTCACTGGCCAGAGCCAGGCACGTGGACACATCAGACAGCAGCAGGGGTGGGGGTGGGGAGGCAGCAAATATTTGAGAACAAAGTACAGTTCACTGTGCTCTGCAAGCTGTTGACAGTGTGAGCTGCAGTGACTGGTTCCGAGCTCTAATGTGGCCTTGTGGGTGAAGGTCGTGGGAATCAGACACATCTGGGTTCAAATTCTCTCCCATAGCTGACTGGCTGTGTGACTTCACGAAAATCACCTAGGCTCTCTGAGCCTTAGTTGTCTGTTCTGTCAAATGATCATAGTAATAGTATCCATCTCATTGGCTTCTGGTGAGGATTAAATGAGATAATTCCATGTTTTACCCTTAGGACAGTGCCTAGCACCAGTAATAATAATGCTAGATATTGTTATTATTAATTATTAAAACTTACCTGTCCATGGCTGCCATTTCTCAGTGATGGGCCTAAGGGAGATATGCAGGACAGACAGTGGAAGGTGTAGGTCGTCTGCCAGCAGAGTGGAGAAGTCAGACGCTTGGTGTGTGTGGGAAGGGGAGGCAGACACAGGATGAAGTGGGCAGAGGGGCAGGAAGGTGGGATCCAGCATCGGCTGTTTAGAATGAGCAAGCCAGCCAGCCATCATCTCTCAAATGACGTGGGGCAGGAGGCTGGCAAAAGCTCAGTTGTGGATTCTCCCGCTGTCAGATGTTGATGGAGCATCTCCGAGCCCTCCCCCGCCCCCAGTCCCCCACTGCTGAGCAGGGAGCCTCAGCCCGGGTGGGGTGCGGAGGGTGGAGCAGACAGATGCTCTAGGGGCAGCTACCTGTGATAGGAGCTGGGCTGCAGTGAGCACAGAGGGGCACCAGCTGGCCTATGTCCACGAATCCCTCATGTGTGCCAGGCCTCCACCCCTGTCCCAGCCCACAGACCTCCTCCCTGCCATCCAGAGGGGAAGACCAACACTAGACAGCTTCCATGTGTGTTTGTTTAGTTCTGACTGTAAGATGGGCTAGAAGATGCGCTGTAGTTCTTTGTTGCCCCGTCAAAGCCATTCTCCTGTGCCCGGGAGGCTGGCCTTCATCCCCTGGTGATGGTTTCACCCTGATTCCCTTGTCTCTTGCCTCTGGCGCAGCCCACGGGAGGCACCAGCAGGAGATCGGATGGGAGTGAGAGGTGGGGGATACGTATTACCCCGTCCCCAGCCGCATGTGGCTCTGGCGGGATCTGGGCTGTCCGCCGGCTCTGTCCCAGCTGCCAGGCTCCTGGCGGTGGCCCCTGCCCAGCATCCAGCTTTCTCCAGGGTCAGTAGTGCCTTTCCCCCTCCTCCCCAACCCCCACAGGCTCCTGCTTCTGCTCATCTTTGCCACCCATCCTTAGTTCCCACAACCCTCCCCACTCTGTTATGGCCCTTTTCCTCTGGGAACCCTATGAACGCACCACTGTTCCCTACCAGGACCCTGACTGAGACTGAAGGGGCTGCAGGGTTCCGAGGGTGGCCAGAGCCAGGGTCCTGGCCTGCATCAGGGGCACTTTGCTTTCCCTGCCCGACCTGGCCCTACCAGGGAACTCCTAATCAGCCTTCAGAGTCCCGCTTCCAGCATCGCCTCCTCCAGGAAGCCCTTCCTGAACCCTGATCAAGGCCAAGTTTCCTAGGACTCTGGCTCTTTCCTTCAGAGCACTGACCTCAGTTTGCAGCTTCACTTTCAGCCATGTGGTATCCAATTCATGTCTCCCACTCCTGCTGGCCAGGGTCTGTGTCACTTCGGTTCAGACTGAATCGCCTGGACCTGGCCAGAGTGGCACTCAAAGAGGAGCTGTTGACTGGATGAGCAGTGAGGAAACAAATACCCCTCACTGTTCTGACTGTCGGCAGGAAAATGACACCCTTCCTATGACAGCTCAGTTAGCTAGCCTGCCTGTCACCTGAGCATGCGTGGCTTTATAGCAAGACGGGGCCTGCAGCAAATTCTTTTTCCTTTTTCCTCATAGGTTTGCTATGGAATTAATCATGGAAAAGGGCCACCCATTTGCTGAAGAGCTTCAGAAAGTGAGTAACATTGTCTCACCCCAAGCTGGGATTTTTCACCCCCAAGGCCTGGTGGCTGTAACTGGATTTGTCATCTGACCTTCACTTCCTCCCTGTGTCACCTGGGACTAGTCCCTCGCCCTCTGTGAGCCTCGGTTTCTTCATCTGTAAAATGGGGACGTACAGACATCACCCTCCTTTGCAGGCAAGCGGTGAGGCTTGTACTCGGGGAGGAAGATGTAAAGTGCAGTGGTATCAACCCAGGGCTGTTCTTACCCTTGCATCACCCAGATGTCCCCAAGGGAGCCAGGTCCCCTCTCAACAGGGCAGGCTGTGCTGCAGGTTCAGGCAGAGTTTGCTCATTAGCCTCTAATGCCAGCTCCTTAGAGGTCTGACAGCCCCACCTGCCTGGCCGGGGCGTCGGTGCCCCCCGCACATGGACTCATGTGACCCCGCTTGGCCCGCGGGACTAGGTCTTCATCTGCGCCTTCTGTTCCTTCCCCAGATCCAGTGCTCCCTGCAGGACGTCGGCTCTGCCCTGGCGACACCACGCTCCTCGGCCAGGGAAGCTCACTTAAGTAATTCTCTCCCTGAACCTGCTGTGTGTGCTCAGCGGGCCCAGAGGGGGCCTCAGCCCGAGGGCAGGGGGTGGGGGGACTGTCTCCTGAGTGTCAGGGGGTCCTCTGTCACCGGGCCTGCAGAACCTGAGAGGGAAGGGCCCTCTGATCCAGTGGAATGGTGTGCGGGGCACCTGGGCGGAAGGGACAGGGGGCGGGTCCCTCATGTTCCTGAAGCAGCAGCCTCCTCTTGGCTCCGCAGAACTCGCCGCATTTGAGGAGGGGCCCATCCTGGAGCTAGAGCGGTGGATCGACAGATACTCCAGCCAGCTGCCCCCTCTCACGGCTTTCATCCTGCCCGTAGGTACCGGATCGCCTCAACCTGGGGGTGGCTGCAGGCCAAGTGTATTGACCAAGGCACACACACAGGCACTGATTCAGTCCATCCCTAACTCTCAGCAGTGACAGAAGCTGTCCCCCAGCCCCCAGGTCCCCTCCACACCCTCACCAGTCCCTCCCCAGCCCTACCCACTTTGGAGGGGGGATACCTGTGGGTGCGTCCTGGCAGGGCCCCCTGGAGGTGGAACAGTGCCCGCTGGGGGCGGGGCCTGTGTAGCATCCTTCCATCCATCTGCCCGAGGAGCTCCCTGTCCGCAGTGGGCACACCCGCCCACCCCTCTGCTCCAGCCAACGCCCGCTTTCTCCTTTCAGTCAGGAGGCAAGTGCAGCTCCGCCCTGCACCTCTGTCGGGCCGTGTGCCGCCGAGCCGAGAGACGGTAAGGGGGCCAGGGCCGGGGGCCTGGTCAGAGCCGGGCCCTCCAGCCGCTCACCCACACACCTCCTGGCGCCCTCCCCGTGCCGGATGGACGCCAGGCCAGACCTAGTCCCTGTCCTCAGAGCCCTACGTTGAGCAGGGGAGACAGTGATCCCTGACCAGGCAGATGACAGGCGATGTAACCGCACATCCGGATCAGAGCCGGTGCAGAAGCAAGCGGCTTCTGCGAACAGGGCGGGGGAGGCCCGGAGGGTCTGGATGATTACTTGTAATGATAATAACACTCACGTGGTGGGAAGCTCAGAAGCACGTTCAGTGCAGACTCCTGTCCCCTGTGTCCCAGCTCCCATTCCTGGGAGGGGCTCTGAGCCGAGCAGAATCAATGAAAGAGCTCCAAACCTCCAAGCGGTGATGAGGGCCGTTACAGAGGGTGCTCGGTGCCAGAGTGGCCCAGCCTTGGGGGGGCGGTGGACAGTGTCCAGGGCGAGGGGGCAGCAAGGACAGAGGGGACAGTCTGTGTTGAAAGCACAGAAAGGGTCCAGAGTTGGGGTGGGGCATGATGAGGCCGGAGGCTGAGCGAGGCCAGGCCAGGCAGGGCCTCCTGTGCCCTCAGGGCTCCGCCTTTTCCTGGAAGCCACTGATGGGTTTTGAGCCATGGGGTGATGTGCTGGCTGCCAGGTGGAAAAGGGCCCAGAGGGACCCCGTGGCCGTGGGGAGCCTAGGTGGAAGCTGCCAGCTCTCCAGCCACTTGCAGCCCCAGTCCTCCAACTCAGAATCAGGGAGAGGAGGGACCCCTAAAAGATCCTGCAAGGCCGTGCGGTCAGGTGGCAGTGGGGTCGGGATATGCTGGCTTGGGATGTAGCCCGGGGACCCACAGCGTGTTGAGCCCAGAACGTAGTGTGATGCTGTGTCTCCTTCTTCCAGCGTCGTGCCTCTTGTCCAGACAGGTGAGACGGATGCAAATGTGGCCAAGTTCTTAAACAGGTACTCAGATAAGACTTTCTCTCTGAAAAAGTGGGCACATCGTGGGAGGTAACAACAGAACAGGGCTCATTCTCTCGTTCATTTGCCTCGTATCCACTGAGCGTCTGCTGTGTGCTGGGGGCTGTGCTGGGCAAGGGGATGCAGCTGAGGACACAGTGGGGACCGTCCCTGTCCCTAGTGAGGGGAAGAACTTGTCAGGACAGGCTACTGTAAAAACCAGCAAAAAAAAACAAACATAAGAACAGAAGGCCGGCGGGTGCGGTAGCAGGGGTCCACTTGGAGGTACCGTGGTGGTGACTGACCAGGGGGCCCCGGCAGGAGTAAGACCCTCTTTAATTCCCCTGCACTCAAGGCCCCAGGCCAGGGTGAACCGAAGGAGGCAGCCAGGCACAGCCAGCGCGGGCCCATCAGCGCAGGACCCAGGGAGCCAGGCCGGCCCAGGGAAGGGCTCCTGCTGCCCCGCAGTTGGCCTGCTCCACCGGGTCCTGCTCCAGCCCCGGTTTGTGCAACCCCAGTGTGGGCCAGGCCAGGGCTCAGGGGCGAGGTGAGAGCTGAGGGACCTCAGAAGCTGACCTGAGGGTCCAGAAAGTGACCTCCCGGCCAGGGTCTACCCCTTACTCTGGCTTCTCCTCCCTCTGGGACATGGTGTGGCCTTTGATGGGTCCTGACCAGCTGCTTTCGTCCTCGGAGGGGAGTGGGCCCAAGGGGAGGGGGGGACCCTTCCATTCATGTCACAGCAGTGGCCCCACATAGTTTGTGTGGGCTGAGCTAGTTCACTCCCTCAGCAAGGAAGGCGTCACCCAGCAGATAAGAAAGTAGCACATGACCACCTGGGGCGGGAGAGGGGGGACACTCAGAGCAGGAGCAGTGTCCTCCACTCCCCTTCCCCCTCCCCCTCCCCCGCAGTGAGACAGCAGACATCGGGAGGAGGGGGACCTGGTACCAGGAGGGGCATGGGTCAGGGTAGGTTCCAGCAGGACCTGGCGTGGAGCTGGCCTCAGAGGGAAACGAGCACAGGACAGCTGAAAGGCGGCAACTCAGTGGACTTGCTGCCAGCTCCCTAGGGGCAGGCTCTCTCCCTCTCTGGTTTCTCTCCACGCCCACCCCTGCCCCGAGGCCCCGTCACCAGTGGGTCAGAGAAAGAAGCAAGAGGGGCACCAGAGTCTAGCCCGCTAGAACATTCCAGGCCAGTGCTGCTCAACTGGGACATCTGGCAATGCCTAGAAACAGCTGGGTAAGGACGCCACTGGCATCGAGTGGGTGGAGGCCAGGGGTGATGCCCAGTGTCCTGCAATGCACACTACAGCCCCTTCCCGCCACAAGGAGTTACCCAGCCACAGGGGATGATCTCGAATGCCAGAGGTGGTGAGGCTGAGAAGCCTGCGCCCAGCCCCCTCTCCTCGAAGTGGGGTCCTCAGACCAGCAGTGCCAGCATCCCCTGGGTGCAGTGTAGACCTGCTGAATCCCAGGCCTGGCCCAGCCCGTCCTCTTGAATGAGAACTGCACAGCCCCAGGATGCCGGGGGACTCGTGTGCACGCCCCAGTTTGGGAGCCGCCAGTCCTGGTCACTGGAAAGTGCAGAAACCAGTGAGTGGCCCAGAGTCGCCAGCCCTGTGAGGTCAGGCATGATAGCAGCCTGGTCCTGCAGGAACCGCCCCAGCCCTGGCGCCAGAGTCAGGTGCTGGGCTCTCCCAGAAGCTGGCCTCACACGCCGTCTGTTAAGCCCAGGTTGGCTGAGCATCCACCATCCCGCCCAATGCTCCTGGGGGCGCGGGACTGATGTGTCCTCCTTGAAGGCTCATAGAGGAACAACCTAGTTAGCATTGATGTCTCAGCTCACATCACTGTGTTTGCCTCTCCCTGCCCCTCCAGACTCAGCGACTATCTCTTCACGTTAGCCAGATACGCTGCCATGAAGGAGGGGATTCCAGAAACAATATACAAGAAAAATGACCCGTCGGACCAAGCCTGATGCACTTGGAAATCACAGGAAAAAGGAGCTTTGCAGGCTCCTCCGTGGTGACGCGGTGAAGAGGAGAGTTGCCCTCCGTGTCCTGATTCCTGAAGACCAAACCCAG